GAAGAAGAAGAAGAAGAATTTTCAATTGTGTGGTATTTTTGTTTGTGTGTGCAGATCCTTTCGCCGTTTATTGACCCGAAGACGTATAAAAAGGTGCAATTCATTAATCCGAAGAGTTTGGAGAGTGTGAGATTGATGCGGGAGATGTTTAACATGCATGAGCTGGAAGCGGCTTTCGGCGGATTTAGCAGTGAGGTGTATAATCCCGAAGAGTATTCTGCAAGGATGTTGGAAGATGAGGCTGGGATGGCCGCATTTTGGGGGATCGAGCATGACCGAGAGAAGGAAAACACACTCTCAAGGCGTTTATCAGAAGAGCCGATGTACTGGAAGAGTCGGCAGAGGACCACGGGTTCCACCGGAGGAGGACCCTCGGACAACAGTACGCCACTGGGCAAAAAGTGGGAAAACCAGTACGAAACGGATACCGGAATTGACACCGGAATAGATACGGGAATCGACACAAGCCCTGATCGAGCATCATTGCCTGATGCGTCTGACGACGATACGATGATGAGACGTCCGCAGTTAAATCAGGGGGATTGGCCTGCACATATGGAAGACGCGGAAGACTTGCCAGTACCTAGGGTGGGGGATACGACGCCGGCGGAGGGTTCTCCTGTACATGACAAAGACGTAGCGCAGTCTTCTGCAAATGTGGCGAGGATGAATGCTGAGGAAGGAGTAAACAAAGACAAACATGCCGAAGAGGATGAAGACGACAAAAAGAAGATAGACGTGGAAGACCGCAAAGCGGTCGTAGAGAAGATAGATGGGACGCCACCGGAGAGCTCCATACCTGACCAGGAAGAGGAAAGGAGATGGTAAAAAAAAAAAAAAAAAAAAAAAAAGATTAAGGGTGTAAGTTATTCTGCTAGTCCTGAACTGGACTGTCCATGTTCCTGATGTCCCATTGCATTAGCGAAGCAGCATTTTTATTTTATTTTTTTCTTCCAGGAATAACCATAGGAATTGCAGGAATGACCGTAGGACCAAGACCATGGACCATGGACTTGGTGTGCTAGCAAGATAAGATCATTTTTTTTTCTTTTTTTTTTTCCATTATCCGGAAGAAGAAGTGTCAAAATCAACTTTCAATTTCTGTATACTCCTAAAGCAAAAGAAAATAACGGGTCACGCGTGACCGTCCCACGTCAGAGATGCCTCTGGAGCTGTTGGGAAAATCGCTGTAGGCCCAACGCAGTGGTGACCTTTTTTTCCATTTTGGCACAACGTTTTGCTGCTTCAGCGGGTCCGACTCTTTTTTTTGGGTGTTGTGGGCCCAAAGCAGTGGTGACCCTTTTTTTTCCCTTTGTGCTGCTTATGCGTGTCGGCCTCTTTTTCTTGGTGCTTTTCCAGTTCCTTCGCGCGACCCCTCTTTCCTTGTGGTTCCTATGTGTCGTATCGTTCCATGTTCTAGTCGAAGATTCATTCCCACTTTGCATATTTGCTAATCGACGGATGACAAACAAAAAAAACTGTCGCAGATGAGATTGCCATGCGCCAAACTGGGCACGGGGGACAGAGGTGTTTGGTGTGGCGGACGAGCGTCATGCGAATGCGGGTGGGCGATGGGCCGAATCTCTCTCTCTCTCTCTCTCTCTCTCTCTCTCTCTCTCTCTCTCTCTCTCTCTCAGACGAGGGGAGGAGGAGGGGTGTGTGTGTGTGTGTGTGTGTGTGTGTGTGNGAGAGAGAGAGAGAGAGAGAGAGAGAGAGAGAGAGAGAGAGAGAGAGAGAGAGAGAGAGAGAGAGAGAGAGAGAGAGAGGTGGCAAAGGAGGATGCGCAAGAGGAGGAGGACATGGTGGAGCGGGTGGCTGAAAAAGGATGTGCGAGATGAGGAGGAGATGGTAAAGCAGGAGGGGGAGGAGGAGGGGGAGGAGGAGGAGGAGGAGGTGGTGTTAGATGATGACGGGAGGAGGAGAGAGAGAGAGAGAGAGAGAGAGAGAGAGAGAGAGAGAGAGAGAGAGAGAGAGAGAGAGAGAGAGAGAGAGAGAGAAGATGGCAATGCATGCACACATGTCTGTCAACAGTTCATGGGTATACCTTTCAGCAACGTGGGCTTGGCATGAGCGAGAGGACGACAAGGACATGGCGAAGGGGAGGAGGGGCAGGAGAACACAGCAGAAGAGGAGGAGGTAGCGAAGGAGGAGGTGCTGTCCGCCGCGGGCACAGCTGGGGCAGGCATCCACTTGTTAAAAAAAAAAAAAGGATAGCGTGTTGGTCGTCTGATCTTGCTGGCTTAGCAGATCTTTAGTCCAAAGACTCCAAACAGAGAGGCTCGTTAACATTTTGGTGTAGTGTAGTAGTTGTAGAAACGGTGTACATGAAGTTGAGGATGAACAGTGAATATCAGCAACAGCTGCAGTACCATATAATGATGAGGTGATGATCAGTATTCATTCTCCCCCACCTTCCTTCTACACTCTCCCAAGGGCATCCCTCCATTTCCTTCCTCCCCCCTGCCCCCCCCTGCCCCCCCCCCCCCCCCCCCCTGGCCTCCTTCCAACCCTCCCTGAGATTTTCACCATTTGCCTCCACACCAAGCATTAGATGCAATTGGACAGGGGAACGGCCCTAAGAGATGCTTTCCCCTTGGAGTGAGATGGATGGGATCAGAACCTATAGCTGTTACTCTAGGTCGTGGACCCATGGTAACTTGACACTAGCATTGCAAATGTCATGGTAACTTGAGACTAGCTGTTACTGTATTGTCATGGTAACTTGACACTAGCTGTTACTTTAGGTCATGGTAACTTGACACTAGCTGTTACTCTTGGTCATGGTAACTTGACACTAGCTGTTACTCTAGGTCATGGTAACTTGACACTAGCTGCTACTCTAGGTCATGGTAACTTGACACTAGCATTGCAATGACAGCCACAGCGGTTATTCTGTGAGACGAATGAATGGCCGTTGCGTTCAGGTTGGTGTTTTTTTTTTTTTTAACTGGCACGCAGTTGGTGCAGTTGATTGAGAAAAATTAAACGGCAATGACTCGATGCATGTCCAGAGGTCGGTTCAGTTTTCGACCCCTCCCAGTTTGCTGGAGGGTCGCGATCGCGAGCAAACTGTCGCAGTTGGAGCAAATACCTGACATGCCATTTCCCTTAATCACATTTTCGGCACATCCCTTGAGTCCGTCCAAGATACTTGCGTGTAAGTAAGGGCCTCCGGCATGAACCTGGGATGGTATTTTGACCAGGTTCATGTTTGCTCAGTGCAGCTTCAGCCAAGCTCCCTTACCACCAAGGAAGCAACCTCCGGTGAAAATAATTACCCTCAAGGGAGCTTGGCTGATGTCAACAGAAATCCAATTTCTCATGTCCCATGTAGAGTGCCAATTTCACGTTGGTGATGTCAACAGAAATCCACATCTACTGTCAATAGAACCTCTTGACAGTTTGCTGCAGGAGGCAGGTGGGCCACAAAGTCTTTTTTTTTTTTTTTTTTGGCATTTTGTCAGCTTTTTTGTTGTGATATTTTTATTCTCAGCAGAAATAATAGTAATTTAATATTAAGTTTATTAACGATTTATCCTCATTTTGATTGTTTCTCATCATTTGAGGGAGCAGATAACTCTGATAACCATTGATTTCCTTTTTTGAAGTTTTTTCCCTTTTTTTCTCCATCTCCTTTGCATCTAAGCGTTTGGACTTTTTTTGAACACTTGGACCTTTTGATTAACACGACGAGGTTTTCATCCGTTCTGCTGTTGTTGTGTAAACTTTTTTTTTCTTCTTTTTCTTTTTTTTAATAGTGAGGTACTTTTTTTTCTTTTCTTTTTTCTTCTTTTTTTTTTTTCTTTTTTTTTTTAATAGTGAGGTAGTCAATAGTGGACATCATTGCGTTTTTTCTCCAGTTCCTTTGCATCTAAGCGTTTGGACTTTGAACACTTGACCTTCCTTTTGATTAACATATGACCAGGTTTTCATCCGTTCTGCTGTTGTTGTGTACACTTTTTTTTTTTTTTTTTTTTTTAATAGCAAGGTAGTGAATAATGGACATCACCACCAAGTCAAAACACAGTTGGGGTTACCTTTGATTAAATTGATTTCCTTTCCTGCTTTTTTCTTTTCCAGTTCCTTCCTTTGCGTCCAAGTGTTTGGTTGGTAGGTTGGTAGGTTTATCATTGTAGCCAAATAATTATTCCGCAGCCAAGCGGAATCGAACCGGTGACCTCGGCTGTAGCAGCCGGATGGATGCCTTTACCACTGCAACGGTACCTGGTGTTCAAAACTCTGAACTTCTGAAGCCATGTTTGGACTTTGGACTTTGAACACTTGGACCTTTTGATTAATACAAGGAGGGGAAAAAAAAAAAAAAAAAAAAAAAAAAGGGGATCTGTTCTGTGTCTGTTGTTGTGTACGCTAGTAGTGTTGTAAATTGACTACAGTCTTCACCCGAATACAACGTACGGTCATTATCACTGTATCTAGACGCAAAGTTGCCCCAAATACAGCTATAATGACGGTACGTTGTATTCGGGTGAAGACTGTAGTGGACATCGCCACCAAGTCAAAACAGAGTGAAGAACGATGACTCCGATGAGTCCAATGCATGCCATGGAGAAGCAAACACACAACGACCACTCCCGTCGCAAATGACAGAAGAAAACGATGAAAATCCCAACCGCTCAGGTACTGCAGTTTTTTGTTTGTTAAACTTTGTTTGTTTGTTTGGCTTTTTTTTGTGTTTTTGTTTGTTTGTTTTTTGAATTTGCTAGGCTGCCAGCTGTGCGATGACAGGACATCCTGGCCGGACATCTCCGTCGGATGTTTGGTGGGGGAGTAGTCCGAGATTTTGGAAAAGTCGTTTTTTTTTTTTAAATCAGCGAAGCAATAAGGAAAGGGAAAAAAGGGGG